ATAACTAAAAATTAAATACATAAGTACCTACTAAATAATGAAATGTTTTAGTGTAGTTTCAATATTATTGCTAAACAAACTTCTGCCAGCGGTTTCGCCCGCGTTCCCAGGGGTAAGAAGTAGCCTATGTGTTACTCCAGACAATATAATCTACATCCATAGACGGGCCACCGGCGGATACATCTATTGCAAATTTCATCCTGGCCCCTTCAGCTGTTTTGATGTAGTTGAGTTACAAACACACAGAAAAACACATTTTATCAAATTTATAATATTAATGCAAGCTAATTTCAACTATCGGCCCGACAGTTACAGCGTAAAGTCCATTACGGGGGCAACCTAATATTCGACAAACTTGCGTTTGTGTACAGTAACTGTGTCTAGGGATTGAGCTGTACGATGTATGTTGGTTTTTTCGTGTTTATACTTTTTCGGGTTAAAAAGTACCCATTGTTGTGCCCAGGATATTAAAATATAATCATACCAAGTTGCATCGTAATCGGACTGGTAGTTTTTGCGTGATGCGTGAACATACAGACATACAAAAGATTTTGTCAGCTGAACATCACCGGAAAAATCAGGCAACTGGACGAAGTTCGAAATGGACATTACCAAAAAATAAAACAAATCTGCTACCGTATACATACAACTATTAGGTACCTACATTCTTTGAATTCATACTGTGTGTGAACAAACAAACTACCTAACGGTAAAATTCCTGAGTGATACAGTCAACGGTTTTGTACATCGCAAAATGGGCCTGTTTTTGGTTATTCATGAGACCAAACCAAACTTAATATCGTGTGTACTTAAAATTATGTCTTTATAATATCTGAAAGACGGTGGTGTAGTCTCGTTATAAAAATACAACCAGCTTTAGCTTTTTGTATACTTAGGTACCAGAATTTGAAAGAATATAAAATAAAATAAATTTAATAATACTTGACGGCGCGGGTTTCCGATGAGACATCAATCCAGACCACAATATTATACAGTTTAGTAATAATATTCATAGTTTAGTCATAAAACGTCCTCTCTGAACCTATGTTCAGAGAGGACGCTTTCCGTCAATGAAATAGGCTTTCTCAGCTGGTTGGAAATTAGAAGGAAAGGAACCTGTATCCAACGTTTTCCAGACTCCCTTTTGATCTTTGACATCATTTTTCAATAAACATAATCAAGTAAATATTTTATCGCTAACGATATCTATGGAGCATGGAGCGTAAATCGAAGTCTGCAAATGATATACACTCATCAAATTGATAAACGGGCCATCTGGAAATTGTTTCACCCACGTTTCACCATTTTATTTTATTGAGATTGTGTGACGTCAGAGTTGTGAATATCTATGTGTGTGTTTCTATGTGTTTTTATATAATAGTTTAATTTTTTTCTTCTTTAATGACCTGAATGAATGGATACGGGTCAACCATGGGATCACGCGTGCTTACAATCGAAGCACAAGCACAGCAACGAAGAAACATCAAATACTTACATGATAGCGTACCACACGCGGTAGTAGCAATATCGCGTCACACGCATGGTTGCATCTATTACACAGACAACAGTGAAGACGCGATAAGCAAACTAATCAGGAAGGCGGCTGATGAGAGTGAGCAAGGGATTAAGGACTACAACCTTAAAATGGCCATCAAACACAGGGACACGACGGTTGTAGGTGCTCTTTTGGGCGAGAAATGTTGCTTGTGATAAAACGAATGCAACATGAGGAAATGTGTATGCAGAAATATGTAGATATAGAAAATAACCTATTGACTTTTGAATTATTGTAAGCTTTATTGGAATCGGCCAACGTAGCAAGGGTTGAGGCGTCATGCACACATAAATGTCCTACAGTCGGTGGCGCTGTTTGTTGGGTTGTTCCGTTCCCAATTTAAAGGTTGACCGGACCAATTGCTGACACACACGTCATACTCGTGAACAGGTGCCTTCTGCTGGATCAGGGTGCTTACTCTTGAAACCAATCTTAATGTCAATGCAATTTCAATCTAATAAAATCTCAATAATTATTCAATGTCAAAACTACATAACCCCTTTTGTAGATGTTAAAATAGAATTTAGAATATGGAATATATATCCAAACTAAATACCATTAAGTTCATTAAATATCCAGGCAATACGTATACAATAGCTGATAGTAATGCAACTCAAGAGTACAAAATTTTACAATACCAATGTTGACCGATCGGATTTGAATTCAAGAGTAAGCCCCCAGGTCGGCTCTCCCAATCTTGTTGGTGGGCTGATTTCGTAGAACCGTCGAAATAGAAATAAATGCATAATACCTAATTATTATGTAATTTATACTTTTAGTAAGAATTATAGATGTGGTTAATTGTAGTGTGTAACTAGGTACCTTCGTTACTTTATAAAAATTGATTAGACGTATTTTAATAAAAAATTGTATGACTAGGGCACGGACCAAAAGTCCGTGGATAATTAATCTGTAACATTATAAAAAAAACCTAACGCTGTGGAAAGCTACAACGCTTAGCGCAATTGCTAATTTAAATATGCACGGCGCTTTTGGATATTGAAACCTACCTACATCACCTTTTTTTTAAGAGGGGAAAATCACCGCATGACTTCTCTAGCCTGGGTGAGGCGGGAGGGAGTGTCGGACACTTACCGACTAAAAACCACCCCGTTCCTACTCCTGCACCTCGAGCTGGAGCCCCGGCAACCCGTTAAGTTCTCCGTGGCACCTACATCACCTACATGCGCTAAAAAAAATAATGAAACGACACATAACATAACATCACGCCTATTTTCCCCGAAGGAGTAGGCAGAGGTGCACATTACGGCGCATAATACCAATCAATGTACAATGTAACACCTACTTTTCATATACTAGAAGAATTATTTCTAGAAGAATAATGTTACACAGAAAATAGTGTAAGTATAATAATGTTTATTTGTGCTCACTTAAAATAATAACATAAGAATTAACTAATTATACCTTTTAGGTATATTTAATTTTATTTGGCATCTTTTGGCGAATCTGTGGCATGTCGAGTTTTCACAGCAATCACTGTCTGAACTGCACTGTAAAACAAATAACAAAATAATATTTACAAACAGTATGCTCTTGGAACCAACGATCCTAAAATTATTAATGGACAATAAACCAAAATAATCAATAAAGTTCTTTAACTATGGTATTCAAGCTAGTACCTACGAAAAATGTCCACCAAAATACCAAAGACATAATTTATTACTTTTACATACTTGGTACAAACACATAATAAAGTTACAATTGGTATGGTGCATATTCATACCAAATACCCAACCAATTGATAAACTAAATAGTAGTACATAAGTACCTAGACGACGCAAATACAAGAAAAATCAAATCAAATTAAGTAAATTCTCCTAATTAGGTGCCTAGGTAGAGGTACTAAGAATTTTGCCAAGAAACTGGCTTTACTGGATTAATAGCTTGTTTGCTTGTTGACTATGAATGTTTGTTTATTTATAACATGAAATCAAGTAGTTATACTTACAGTAGTACCATGGGTCCCGCAAGAAAGCCCGGCAGATCCATATTGAGGTTCAGGCATCGCCTGGGAGGTCTCAATCAAGTATTGAGTGAAGACAAGGAACAAAATAATGGCACAGGCACGACGCATTTTGATGAATATCAAATAACCAGTGAAGGAAATATTTACTCGCGTCTTAATATTATCCCCAATGCAATCACACTACTTAATAGACATGTTTGTAGGTCTGTTATATTATGGTCAAGCGATAAACCGGTTTTCCTGTTTTGACTCAGACTACCAACTCGGTTTCTATCTACACTAATTTCATAAAGACAAAAGATTTGAGTTTTTGTCTGTTTCATTAATTACTATACCTATAACGCTCCTAAAAGAAATTGGTTTCTTTGAACAAAGGTTTGCACATTATTTTTTAACAAATTACACAGACGCATTTTTAAACAGATGCTAGAACTTGATTTTATTGTTCAAGGTATCTAAGACTTAAATACATTGAACAATGAAATTGAACATTGTTCTATAATTTAATTGACTCGTTAAAAGTGATCGTAATCCCAATCTCATAGGATTGGGAACATGATTGATTATTATATTATGGTTTTATTTTGCTGGCCTAGTTTATTTAGGTCATATATGTACTTACCCCCTTTCAGGAAATGGATCGGTCTGATATTTGGTACGGACTACAGACCTTTAATCTTGATGACTTTACACATTAAATCGTTTAATTTAAAACATTTTTGTGTATTACCTACTTGTTTAATTCAAGAGACAAAGTCACGCGTAAAGCACTAGGTATCTATTTCTCAAAACCACCGAGATAACACAGGTCAATTTCTAGAATTGATGTCTGAAGATGGCAAGCACAAATAAATGACGTAGGTATTGATATGTTTATTCAAACAGATCCAAGAATCTCATATCTCGTTTGTACAATTGTTCTAAAATTATTATCGCCTACCTATAGGTATTTTAAAATATATTTTTTTTAAAACAAGTTCAAGTAAAGTTCCCTTCTTTTAAAGGGAAGACGGTTTTTGTTCTCACATTTTTTATCCTCGCGCACTTTAATTTTGTACTTTACAATCCTGCTTAAAATTCAAAATATACCGTGAAATGCACGGCTCCGTGAAATGCTAAATACACGTTTTGGTCCCGAAGGAAAATGGTTCTATCTTGGTAATACAATAACTGGTGAACCATTGCAATAAGAAAACTTCGAAAAATATCTCGCCATAGGCAAATATCGAAGAATAGGTATTTCTCGTTGGGTGGGACGTGCTATGCAAATAGCGCATACATTCAGTTTCATGTGCATTGTGCATAATTCCGTGAAATTTTTTTTAAACTAAAAAATGTGTCATATTTTTTTTTTACTTCATACATCTAAAGTACCTACATATTATATGGCAAATTGTTTTGCCGCGCGACGAAAACAAAATAAATTTCACGGTGTATTAGTACTTCAATAAAAAAACCTTGAAAATTCGATAAGTAGGTTTATTAGGTAGGTAATTTATTAGGTAAAATTCTTTTAATTAGCAGACCACCAGACATGTACAAAATTTTAACATTTACACAAATTTAATACAACAAAGAACTTTTAACAATCAAGTTAATGGAGTATGTTTAAGACATTATTTGTTGAATCTAAAAATCAAATGGTAGTCTGAAGGGGGCCTTTGTGGTTCTCAGTGGTTGCTTCTGTATTTGAGGCGCTCTAGTACCCGTATTGCCCAAAAGACCGAGGCCACCCAAGGGCCCGTTGTTCTGTCCACCCAACTGCTGCGGTATTTTCAAGTCGATGGGCAATTGCGACAGGTTTAACAAGTCCCCAAGTAAATTCTTACAGAGAGCCCCTGTTAGTCGGTCTGCCATATTACCCCATAGACCGATTTGGCAGAATCTGGAAAAAATCATGAAAATTACACATAATTAAAAATGTCTATAGTACTATGTAATTTGATCAAATAATTACAAATATAAGTACTAAACACACCTGAAATCTTTATCAATAGTCAAAGATTCGCCAATTTTTAAAAATTGATCTTTACTTCTTGGTAATAAGTTAGCTGCAAAACCGAACAGTGTGTTGTTATTGGCATCAGTTTTATCAGATCCATGAGCGAATTTGGCGATGAGTCCCACGAAGTTATCACGCACTCTAGCATCGGTGCTGGATACTTCATCTCCCATAGACTTGCCGTCAGGACCCAAAGGCTCGAAGATGTAAGCTAGTTCATCACCATGAGATGGACCTTGTGCTTTTTTCGGCTTAACCATTTCACTGTCATCTTTCTCTGTAATATGTTTTTTCATTTTAACTTTTAAAATAATGAACAATTTGTTCTGTAGAAGGTGTGTATGTATTCGTATTGTAAATAGGTATTATATTTACCTGCAAGAGCCACTCCAGGCAAGAAATGCCATCCTTTCGAGAGGTTTCCAACATGTTCGAAGCTATAGAGGAAAGCATGACCCCCTGTGCTCCACTTCTGAACACTTTGGTAGGCGGGGAAGTTAAACAGCGCGTCACCTGGGAATCAAACCATTTTGTTGAATGGTTGAGGTGTCCTTGTTCTGCCAGTAGGTATCGCTGGTATCGATATTTATGGGACCTGAGCATCATTATAGGAAGCGTTAATCGCCCATGGATGGACAGAGATGTAACATATGAAATTGGTATTTCTAGAAGCCAGATTATAAAAAAAATCTCAAAGCAAGTAACGATATTTGTTCTGTATCTTATGTAAAGTAGTTAATTTTCTGAAAAATGTAGTGAAATAACCTGAACAAAGGTTATCCAAAGCGTTGAACTCAATTACCCCTGCGATTTGATAAAATATAAGTAAATAATAATTTCTATGTAATAACTTGATTGGATTGTTTACATTACATTCTTCGAACTCATAATGTTATTTTACATTAGTTAGTACCACAAATAATTAAAAACTCTCTAAGCAAAAGAAGGTGTGTTTAAATGTATGTCATATTGAAAATAATTGATTTTGAATGGTAAATTATCGAAATTCCTTATTTTTCCAACACAATTTGAGTAGAAGTTTCAAGTTTGCTTTCCGAAATAGTAGGTACTTTATATTTAAAGCGCATTCAAGTAATGCAAGTATTCATCAATATTAATGTTAATCATCAATTAGTTCACAATATTTCTGCTAAGTAGATAATAATAATACTTTTCCAAAACTTAAATTTTACAAGCGCAACATCGATTGTGCTAGAAATGAGGATGGACAAAAAAATCTACCTGCGGGCTGCGTGTAACAAAAAATAAAAAGGCACAAAGCCCTTATTTAAGGGACGCAGCTTGTGGCCTTGAGCCCTTTGTATTTAGGGTTGGGGTTGGGGCAATGGGGCCTATAGATGTGGAGAACAATGGACACGTTTTCAAAAAATACCACACAGTTTGAGTACCTGGAATGATTTAAAACACTTATTCTGAGTTATTTAATTTCTACTGCGTTATTTTATAGATAGTTTACATTTGTGAAACGTGTTGTATGATGTAGCAAACCTATTTTTTAGGGGAAAAATCATCCAATGACTTCTCCCGCCCGGTTGAAGCGAGAGGTGGTGTCAGACTCTTACTGACTAAAATCTTCCCCGTTCCTACACATGGACTTAGGGCCGGAGTCCTAGCAACCCGTTCCGAGCATCAGCCCTATTGAGCCCCATCCGTGGTGGTCTAATGGCTGTAGCAAACCTATCTATACCTACTTCAACTTTTGGTGAACCGTGTAGCATGGATATCACAACCTGGCTTTTTCTTCACCCAGTTAGAAAGTCTGAGTATTTAGTCACTAGCTTTTGCCCGCGACTTCGTCCGCGTAGAATAAAGACTTTTGAATTAGTCTTTATCAAGGGATATTCTACGGTAACGAATGTCGTCAGAATTGATTCAGTACCTAGTATAGGACTCCTTCCCCGGTGATAGCGTGATAATATGTATGTTGACCCGACTTGTGAGTAAGCTTCATACTGAAGTAAATCCATGCAATACTTTTTGAGATCACACCAGACATACAGACAAACAGACAAATATTCTAAAAATCATTTTTTTGGTTTCGGTATGGATTGTAGATCACGCTCAAATATTGTTTTTAAAAATATTAATTGTACAATTGTGACTTTTCTACGATTTTATTATACAAGGTGTCCCTGAAGTCGACGATCAAATGGCACCATTTTAGAATCCTTATTAAATGCGTCAACTTTGGTAAAATTTTTCAAGTCGCATTTCGCAGTACAATTTTTTTTCACTACAGTCACTTAAACTACGGTAAAAATTGTATTGAGAGTACTTGGTTCATGAAAAAACGACATTCTTTTCTAAACTAAAGCAGTTGGTTCAGAATTTATGACTCAATAATACTGAAGCACTATTCAGGATAACGTATGCAAAAATACAGACGAGAAAGTAAAGAATTGTAGCAACAAGAGTTAAAAGACTGGCACTGGGTGTACTTTTTCGTGGATAACACATAACTCATTGTAATATTAAACACTACTATCTGACTTGGAATTTTTTTATATTCTTTAATAACTGTTGCAACCTTGCCAATCATCTGGTGCCATTTAATCTTCGCCTTCAGGGACACCCTGTATGTATAGATAATGAGTACCTAAGACATCAACCACAATCCGAAACTCTGTGATACAAAGATACAAAGACATACATTAAATTGAATTTCGAAATATCTATTAATACTTTACCCGAAACGGAAACCGACCCAGCTTACCCGAACCGGGCGTGGCCCCTTGACCAACAAAGCGACCGACTTGCGTAAAGTATGCGAAAATAATTTTAATATGTAATTGTATCTCATCTATTTCTTTAAACTAAATTAAATGTATAATTGACTAGACGTTCACATTGATTAAGACTTGACATTTTAATAAATTCATGTTTATCTAATACTAATTTGATTATAATGTAAGATGATTCATTCATATTGCTGTATTTCATTTAATAATACTTTTGCACGCTGTGTTCCACTGCAAAACATGCTGTACACAAACATTTTATTCAACATCTTGTTACCTACCATGTTAAGCAAATTAAATATTTTGATTTGATTTGAATAACTTGTTTTTTTGAACCTCGCACAATATGTTTATTATAATGATATCGTTACCTGTGGCTTCAGCAACTTCAGAGAGTCTATCAACGATATCGGTAGCCTGTTTGAGCAAACCCTCGTAGTAGTCAGTTACAGGCAACACGGTTTGCACGTTGGAAGCCAGAGGAATCAGACCCTCTACTCCATGAACCACGTTTTGCAGACCACCGATTAAGTCCTTCTTCAAAAAGTCCTTCACGGTTTGAAGCTGGTTTGTTAAGAACTTGTTGAATTTTCCTAGAAAGAAAAAAAAATATCAAATCAATTAAGACCATAAAAGTTACATTCACATAGAACTGTAAATTGATGAGTATGTACCATTACCTTGAACATCTAATTCAAGTTTCAACCATACTATTTTAGTGAAGTAACGTCTAGATTTGTTCTCCTACAAACAATACTTACCAAATACAGCTCTTGAGGTCTCTGCTGAAGTAACGCCAGTGAGCAGTGGGACACGCTTCTGTTTCTTGTTGAGAGCCTCAGCTGGAGACTCGGCTACTATCGGTGGAAGACCTCGGAGGTCATCCGCACCTTCCACTCTGGCACCAGCACCTGCTCATCGATGTCACTCTTGTATTATTGCAAAAAGTGTCTTGCTATTACTACCTATAGGTATTCGTTTTTTACAAGTTACCTGAACGTCCAGAGATCTCTTCCAAAAACCGTTGTGTATCCACCATATCCATATTTATATCCTCGTCGGCCTGTGACAGTCACACAAATGTTAACTATTATCAACAAATTTAACATTTCGTTACATAATTTGTGTTTATGAACCTCAACGTATACAAGTTACCTGCACAAGTTTCTCAACGGGTAGTTGCCTCAAACATATGAGTAGACTTTCAGCTGGTTTCTTTGGGCACCCTGTACGTTCAGCTACAGCCTCAGCGTGTTTGGCCGGATCGGGTCTCACCGTGCCTGGAGACAACGGGCTCCAGACAAGGCAGCTACACCAGTAGCACTGCGACCTTCAGGCGACATTGCCATGAGAGAAGCCGCACTACCACCAGAACCTTGGCCCATAACAACCACTCGTTTTGGATCGCCACCGAAGAATTGAATGTAATCTTGGATCTGAAATAACAATAGGAATAGGATACCCCAGTTTATTATTAATGAAAATAAACAATGGCATAATGTGCACGTCTGCCTACCCCTTTGGGGATAAAAGGCGCAATGTTGTGTTATGTTATGAAAATAAACGTGTCGTACTTGAAATGTTTTAAGTAAGTACACTAATTTTACTCTTACCCAGACCATGGCAGTGTGCAGGTCAAAAAGCCCAAGATTTCCTCCAGCATCCCTCTGTCCCGTGCTCAGATATCCTAATGATCCCAGTCGATATTGAGCTGTCACTAATATCGTGTCCTTCTGAGCTAGATGTTGACCCTTCAAACAATTTAGATTTTTATTAACAAAGCCGAGTTAATTTTAGTATAGTTAACTTAAAGTAAAGGTTGGAAGATTAAGCTTAACAACTTACACCATACGATGCCGTTGATCCTGTTCTGTAGTTACCACCATGAATGAAGAAGACAACTGGGCTTCCTGCAAATGATTTTAATTTGGATCAATAATTAGATGTGTGTTGGCGCTATTGTCGTATAAGAGGCTACCAAAGTCAATATGGCTACGAATCAATGGTAGATATAAGCGCCTTAGGGGCTTGGGGTGGATACCCCATGCCGATCCTACCAAGATCTTAAAGATATTTATCAACTTGGTAACTCTTTCACACAATTCATTAATGTGTTTATTTCATCGCAGCCCCCTGTGTAGCCAGAGACCCAAGCAGGAATAAAGGTTGTAACCTTATTGTAAGCTTTTATACAATTTTGACCCACCTTCTTCAGTAGCAGGCATTTTGGGAGCATATACATTCAGGCACAAGCAATCTTCATGGCCTATGATCCGATTTCGCTGGTAAGGATCCGGTTGTGGGCATGGATAGCAGTGTCGGTTGGCGATCATCTCTCCAGCGAGGAACCGGCGAATGGGCCGCTGGAACCTTTGAGGACCCAATGGTGGTTCCGCATATCTGTATACATATACATCAGTAATACCTATATTTTAAAAGATAGTTTTCAATCTAAATAAACCTATTCGTACGATAGGTACTTGGAACAGATGGGACTTAGATTTACAGCTATAACTAAACATTTTGAAATGACTGTTAAACGGCTCTTTAATATGTTAACGTCAGTAGCTGCCTAAATCAAAGCATACGTGTAGGTACAAACTACTCTCCACAGCGGATTATCTGTTGGCCACGAAAACAGCGGAAACCGCTATCAACATCCGTCGGCGTCAAACTAAATTATAAACGCAATAAATTTAAAACTGCCAAGTCCCCAAGCGGTCACAATTACTTTTGATCTTATTTAAATTTATTCCTAAAACCATTTTTTAAGTTTTTATGCTTACATAGTTTACATTAAGTACAAGGAACAAAAAAAGACTATTATCTAGAAGTTTATTCAACTTTTGCCCATTAGATTAGAATGATGTTTTCGTTTTCATTCAGATTCAAAAGTTCTTGGCATTGCACATGGACATGATAACATTTTAATAGAAAACATTGACCCTAAAAAAAATTTTTTTTGATTAGGGTTTGTAGAGATAGCTATATTCAATCTATTCCGTGAGGTAAAGGACAGGAAGTCTCTTGAACATCCTCATTCGTATCCACTCCAAATAACATAAGTGGCTGTTAGTGACTGCAAAGTACAGCTTGTTAAAAATGCAACCACACACATTTCTTTGCTTTACCAAAGAACTTAGAAATTACAAATATACCTCGATTTATGAATAGCAAGTGTTAAGTACCTGATTCCATAAAAGCTATAATATCCAAGTTTATCATCTTTAATTCCTTCGATACGTGCGCTGAACCCGTGCCGCTGTGTGAAGACAACCGCAGCGTCAGGTTCGGGAGGTGAGGCTGGGGCGCCTCCGACGACAGCCTGCGCTGGCGCAAACCATAGCGCCGCCAACGTAAGCGCAACACACCACATCCAAAGCCGATACATCACTAAACCCATGACACTCGCAATCGGAACTAGACATCCCACGACATGTGGTAATCGTCATACCGGGTTGCAAAATACCTACCCAACAGCCGATGATAATTTTTGTTGAATCCTGTCTGTGATCCTGCTTACCGATAAAAGTTCCCAAAAATAACGACATTATTCCATGTATCTTTTACCTCATTGTCCAATGATGCGTAGGCACTGACGTTCCGATTAATTCGATTTGTGATTTTGTGATTTTGCCCGATTCTTCTGAAGTAGTATGATTGTAACATGATTGACTCAAGAACACAATGTAGGTACTAATAATGTGTTATTTTCTTGGAAAACTTGGATACTTACCGCAACTTGTGAAACAGTTTCTTCTATAAGCTAAACTCGATCAGTGAATCAAACGAATCCAGCACCGGGTCATATTATCCCTAAGGCCTAATATTACCACTAAACTGCCATTCTACCAGATTCCTACCAAATCCTGTAGATTATTGACAATAATTCTTTTGAATTTCGGTCAAAAACCTATTATAGATCGGTCCAAAAACAGAGAGTTATTAATTTCGGCCGTACTCGTCAATATTTAGATGTGGCATGTAATGTATTGTATTGTATGTACTGTATCTTATCATTGTATCCTGTCGCGTAGTTATTTATTATATTTCTCCCGAAGAAGGTTCTATCTAATACAGATTTATCGAGCACACTATATACCTATTTACTTAAATTTACATTGAAATTTCCCAGAGAAAGTCCGAAATCGCGTTTTATAAGGCTCCAATCCCAACACATTTATATTACACTAGCTTCTGCTGGCGACTTCGCCCGCGTTCGCGTTCTAGTAGCCTAGGTATGTGTAATACATAGGCTACTAGACCATAATCTACCTCTGTTCCGAATTTCATCCCGATTCCTTCAGCCGTTTTGATGTGACTGACTAACAAACATGCACATAAACACACAAACTCACATGTATACTGTCGGTTCAACCTAATTTCAACCATCAGCTCTACAGTTACAGCGTAAAGTCTACTGACTGCAGGCAACTGAACTTAACATTCGACAAACTTATATATTTGCGTTTGGTACATTTACTGTGTCTAGGAATTCAGCCGCACAATTAAATTTATTTTTATTGTATTTATTCTATTTCGGGATAAAAAGTACCCATTAATGTGCCCAGGATATTTAAATATAATCATAAGTACCAAGTTTCATCGTAGTCGTACTAGTAGTTTTTGCGTGATGCGTGAACATACAGATAGACAGACAATATTTTTTAATCACATTTTTTGGTTCTATTATCTAAAATTACCGCCTACTATTTATTTTTTTAATATTTTTAATGTCCAAGAATTTCCACTTCTACAGTTTTATTATATGAATGGAATTATAGAAATAGATAAATCATAGTCACCTCGATACATAAATTATGTACTTACATAACTAGGTAAAGTACATAACTTTACCTAGTTAATCTAGATTACCTATCCATAGTTACTAGGTACAGCACGATTTACCTATCATTTCATACCTACTAAATAAAGATTAAAAAAAACATTATTACCACTGATCACTTACAAATTTTCGCCAACCATTATTATTATTGGTACCTAGTAGTCTAGTACTAATAATATATTATACTTCGATTTCTAATTTACATAATATTAGATAATACCTAAATAAATTCATTAGACATATACTTCCACATTATATTTGAGGAAAACTAATGATGGTTTAAAAGGTGAGAAATTTTTTTTTACGTTGTTTGCCGGGTCAGCTAGCTAGTCATTACTGGCCCAGTAGGGCAGCGGCCGCGGCCCCAGCTCAAAGAGCAGGAGTAGGAACGGAGGAGTAGTTTTTAGTCAGGAAAGAGTCTGATACCCTCTCGCCTAACTAACCCAAGGCGGGAGAATTTATTGTATGACTAGCTGTTGCCCGCGACTTCGTCCGCGTAGATTAATGACTTCTGACAGAATTAACCAGAATCAATTCAGTGCCCAAGTAAGATTTACCTGTTTTGAAATGTTTTATCGTAGTTTCGATAAATAAATAATCCCGCAGGGATCTTACCAGTACAGTGCCCGATCACGTAAGGTTTGAGTAATAAAAACTATCTACTATATTTGTACCGAATCTCTCTAGAATAAGTTCAGTGGTTAAGAGTTAGAGAGTCCTGGGGCATTGACGCATAGTTCCCGTTCTCGTGAGACATCTGTGAAAAAACTATCAAACGTTACCCAGGTCCGAAATCATCGTTTTACCGAATTTAATTCAAAAAGAATCAATGATTCTAAATTCAATAGCTAAGAAGATTTATACAAACTCTCATTCCCTATTTTATCCCCTTAGGGGTGGAATTTATCAAAATCCTTTCTAAGAAGATACCTATGTCATAGCAACTTTATGCATGCAAAGTCTCAGCCCGATCAATTTAAAACTGGCAAAGTATCATACAAACTTTCACCCCCTATTTTACCCACTTTGGGGTGAGAATGTTCAAAAACCTTTCTAAAGGGACGTTTACGTCATAATATCCATCTGCACGCCGAATTTCAACCCGATCGGTGTAAAACTGACAAAGCTTCATACAAACGTTAATCCCCTACATTACCCCATTGGAGGTGAAAATAATCAAAATCCTTACTTGGGGATGCCTACGTCATAACATCTACCTGCATGCCGAATTTCATCTGCATCGGTTTAAAACTGACAAAGCTTCATATAAACTTTCACCCCCTATTTTACCCCCTTAGGGTGGAAATGATCAAAATCCTTTCTTAGCGGATGCCTATGTGATAACATCTATCTGCATGTCAAATTTCAATTCGATCGATTTAAAACTGACAAAGTCTCATACAAACTTTCATCCCCTATTTACCCTTGGGGGGGAAATTATCAAAATCCTTTCACAGCGGATGCCTACGTCATAACATCTATCTGCATGCCAAATTTCCACCCGATCGATTTAAAACTGACAGTCTCATACAAACTTTCATCCCCTATTTTACCCCCTTGGGGGTGGAAATTATCAAAATCCTTTCAAAGCGGATGCTTACGTCATAACATCTATCTGCATGCCAAATTTCAACCCGATCGGTTTAAAACTGACAAAGTCTCATACAAACTTTCATCCCTATTTTACCCCCTTGGGGGTGGAAATTATCAAAATCCTTTCACAGCGGATGCTACGTCATAACATCTATCTGCATGCCAAATTACAACCCGATCGGTTTAAAACTGACAAAGTCTCATACAAACTTTCATCCCCTATTTTACCCCCTTGGGGGTGGAAATTATCAAAATCCTTTCACAGCGGATGCTTACGTCATAACATCTATCTGCATGCCAAATTTCAACCCGATCAGTTAAAAACTGACAAAGTTTCATACAAACTTTCATCCCCTTTTTTACCCCCCTGGGGGTGGAAATTATCAAAATCCTTTCTTAGCGGATGCCTACGTCATAACATCTATCTGTATTCCAAATTTTAGCCCAATTTGTCCAGCGGTTTGGGCTGTGCGTTGATAGATCACTATGTCAGTCAGTCAGTCAGTCAATCACCTTTGAATTTTATATATATAGATTTTCGCCCCTCAAAAAAAACCGGTTGTTACCTATTACTATTTTTATAGTTGATCGATGCTATATTTATTATTTAAGTAATAATCCTACTGACATAATGGTAAGTACTAACTTAGGTAAAACTTAAGTAGTCCAATTTATTATACCAGTATGAGGTGTGTTTTACTATTGCCTGATGGTGCAAATTGGAATATTACCGCCACCCACATGGCCCACAAGCTTTTTTTCTCACAGACATTCAAATACAATTAAGTCGATAATCGCGTAAACATGCTTATCTACCTTTTCATTTAATTGTCGTTATATAATGACTACCGACCTTATCAGTCATCTAATTATTTATACAGATACAGAGAACGATCTGTTATAAGCAAATTAATAATGCCTATGAACCTACATAGTAGTTCCTACAGAGTTGTTCTGTGTGGAAATCACACCCGCGATTTATTGCGCTCCGTTTTTATCACAGCGTTTTAGCGTCACCATTGTCATCCGAGGCTAGAAAATTGTATACCTAGTTTAATTATTTTGTGTTTGAGCTTAAGAGCTAGTTAAACATATAAACGGTTTAGCTGCTTTATTTTTTTAATTGAATTTTGTATCCTATAATAGGGCTGACATTTTCCTCTAAGGAAAAAACCCTTCTTATTAAATAAAGATTAAAAAAAAACTATTTGCCTAGTCAAAGACTACTATAGTATAGGTACAAGCTATGTCTACTACGCACAACTGCTAGGTATTACCTAACTTACGTAGGAGTACCTACCTATAAACAGAAAATTCAAAATCAATCGGGTAGCTGTTGTTTTTGTGAGAAGGTACCTAGGTATAGGCTACGCATTGACGTTATATTATATCCTACATTTTTTAATAATTATTTATTTACAGGGTTTTTTTCTTAAAAGTAGGTACCTAAACGACACCCCGATTATTGAGACTTAGATTAAAGTTAAATGAAGGGTTTTATTAAAAATGGCAATCTCACCCTACTGAGGCTGGACTTACTAACTTATAATCTACGCTTTAATAGCTAAGTTAAGTAATTAATCTATACTTAGGTACACTATTTTAGCCATCTTTGATGATGGGTTTTTCTTTTTATTTTTAATCTTTATCTAATAAGAAGGGATTTTTACCTTTGAGGAAAATGTCAGCCCTATTATAGAAGATTGATGATGGTTACGACTTACGATTACCATAGTATAAACAACTTCGTTCTTTATACTATGCGATTACCATGGACCTATGTTACATTTACCGAACGAATTGAAATTGTGTTTAAGGTTCAGTGCGCAGTTGTTCCACGTCTCACAATCAACCCCAAAGACCAAAATGCAATAATTGTAAATCTCTACGTACCTACGTTAGGTAGAGAACAATCAAGTTTCCCCAAAAAATTATTTATTACAATGGTGACGTTTTCTTTTAAGAAAAAACCCTGTAATTAAATAAAGATAAAAATGCTTTGTTTATTTTTTTATAGCCCTATTGTAGGATACAAAATTCAGTACACGCTTGCTAAAATAAAGCAGCTAAACCGTTTATAGGTAAACAGTACCTATGATAAAAACCAATATTAAAGCTCTTAAAACTAAAGACTTTTTTATTAATCTTTATTTAATAAGGGCTTTTTTCCTACTTGTAAAAAAAGGTATTTTTTCGTACTTTTTGCAGCATATACCTACCTAACAACGTTAAAATAAAAAAAATCTGATTATTATAAGTAGGGTTGCCACCCGTACTTTATAATAAAGTATTGTACGTTATTTAAGGTAATTGTACTCTATACTTTATAAGAATAACTAGCTTCTGCCCGCGACTTCATACGCGCAATCCCATTTCCCCCCCGTTCCCGTTCGTGATTTTCGGTAAAAGTAAAAAAAAAATTTTTATAAAAAGTATCCTATGTCCGTCTCCTGGTTCTAAGCTACCACCCCGCCAATTTTCATCCAAATCGATTTAGTCGTTCTTGAGTTATAAATAGTGTAACTAACACGACTTTCTTTTATATATATATATAGATACCTAAAGTACACGAAAATACTTTATTTTTGCAAATTTTATTTCTATTATATGTAGTCGTAAGTATTTTTCGGTAAACTTATCGATTCGATATCGACATTTATCGATTTATGTTGAATCGATTACTCACCAGCGCCACTTAGACAATTTCTAGTAAAGATGTAATGGTTTAGTAAAGGTACTAATTTAATACAAACTGCAAAAAGCAATAAATAATATATTTTTAAATATAATACTAAATAAAAATAAATTGTACTTTATTTTTGTACTGTGTACCTACTTTTTTTTTCTTACCTATAATCGTCAATGTACTTTAAATACCAAAGAAAAAGGTGGCAACCCTAATTATAAGGTATACTAGGTTAGCCTGTACACAGTATAAATATTCTTATACTATGGTAATGTATAAATGGTAATATATAAATGGTAATATATAAATATTCTTTATACTATGGCCTGTAGCTCGATTGGTAGGTAATTGTACGATGTGTATAGGTATCAAATTTCATTTGATTCGGTCCGGTACTTTTCATAACAGAGTCGTATTGTTTGTGTGAAAAATGATAGATCTAGGATATTAGGATATAGCGCCCTTTATACACGCATTCTTTCGTGTTCTATTGTAATTGTTTGTCATTGACCGACCGATCGATGCGCATTGGACGTCTGAGAAACAGTGATGTCCACTCGAAAAATATCGATATCGGAATATAAAATAGAGAGTTTTTATATTTCATAAATAAAGGATTTTTACATACTGCCTTTATTTATTTTATTTACATATTTATTTATTTAGACATCCAGTTGTTGCTACATTTTTATCATTAACTTAAAATTAGGAATTAACATCTTACTGCTAATGCACAACATTTGAAGGACATCACAGCATGCGTTGAGTTGAGAACACTATATCAATTAAATTAAATTTACCTAATTTCTCTACATTACCAAATTTGAAATAAATAAGAATTATAATATAATTAGCTTAACAACTTTTGTTATTACTCATTATATAATAGTCAACTTTGACTACAAAAATATGAATACAAAACAAAAGAATAATTAACGATCAAAATAAGGGACACAGTCATTAAGCTCAAAAATAAAAAAAATAACATTAAAATAAAATAAATTGTTAATATCATTATTGTACTGCAACTAATGTGGATAGTTTAGTTAAGACTTAATAAATAAGTAAATATGATTTCCACTTATATGCATAGATAGTAATACTATCTTATTATTATTCAGGAAAGTAAATCCATTAGCCGATATCGATATTATCGACTTTAGAAATCAGGAAACCGTACGGCTCTAAACTATGCTTGTTCGTGCATTTTATTAGGGACCGTATACATCCACAATATTACCAGCATCTAAAACTAGAGATATGAATGGGCAATGGGCATTGGGCAACGACGAAAATAAATGTACAATATGCTTAGCATTTCGTGTCTTCTAATTGAATACCCAGGCAACATTTTGTTGCCAATAATTGGCAATTGTGTTCTTATGAAGAGCAACAGCAAGATTTTTCTTTGAAATACTCTGAATTATGTCAGATTAGGGCAAACGTAAGCCTTTTAAAACGCGAATATTGCCATGATACCCGTGAATTAAAGAAAAAGGAACTGAAAATGCAAAACAAACAATTCCAAATATTAATTGACGAAAATAAAAGCAATCTGTTGTCTCATCTCATAGTTATCTTAAAAATTAAGTAACACATGATAACATTATTCTTTTTTTATCTTTATTTAATTACAGGTTTTTTTCTTAAAAGAAATTAATAATATTTTTAATACTTAACCGTTAATTAGTTACCAATAGGATACTTTAACTAAATAAAATCAGTATTATTTGCGAATGGTCAAAACTGATAGTTTTCCATGAATTTTGTACAAAAGTAAACTACGTAAGTAATTGAGTGTTGTGCCATGTTTTTATTAATTCGTGCAAGTTTTTTTTTATGTATTTATTTTTAAGTTGTAAATAGTTCCATTTTTATTTTTTCTTAGCACATATTAATTATCTTATTTATTTTAGTATAAATTACCAAGAATACACGATTAGACTATAATTAAATTAAAATTATTTTACACTAACCTATTTAAAGAAAGAAAAATACACAAGCTAAATAATAATATTGTTATTAAAATATAACTACATATTTTAAAAAGGCTGGCAACGCAGCTGTGACTTGGTGACTCCTCTGGTGTTGTGGGTGTCCATATGGGCGGCACTGATCGCTTTCGCTTAGGTACCTTACCATCAGGATTACATATTTTCAACTATTGATTTTTAAAATTTTAAAGGACCTTATTCATCTAACGAAATGATTTCTATATATTGCATTGCACGAAATCGCCCACGGTTGTCGTTCTGGTAACCCTAAATTGAAGTCCAAGCCATAATAAACCATAATTCGTCGCGATAAAGTCCATATTCATTACTTGAACCTGTTTAGGAGATAACAATATGTCTATCTCTTTCTATACAGCGGGGAGACGAGTGGACTATAACTATGAACTGATTTTAATTCCGTATTTTAATAATTTACATGTACGATTTTTCAGCAATGCTAGGAATTCTAAACTTCCTTTCTTTTTTATAGTGTATCTCAATACTCTCGTGTTGTGTGAATATAATTTTATTATTAATAAAAAAAAATCTATACATTTTTATATTGGCAAATACATGAGCTTACATTATTAGAGCATAATTACCTAGTAAGTACCTATGAAAAAAATATGATGTCCCAATATGGCTGGGTAAGCTAATATGCATTTTGATACACTTAAATACCTATATTTATTTAGGCACCTACTGGCTTAAGTAGGTACCTAAACCATTTACCTACCCTAGAAAATTAAAGTAAAGATTTTTTTAAAATTACTAATCTATAATATTGATTTAAGTAAATTGTTGAAATTATTTTTACAGCAAAATAATTATAGCCTATTTTACCCTTCAGTTACAAAGACTGATTTGAAACTGTTGTTATATCAACAGATAAAAACGTTTTAAGCTTAAATTTATATAAAAAGGCATATAAAAGTATAAACCTTTTGTACTGTTGAATATCTTGTCCCCGTATCGCTATAACGGAGCAAAGGCTTAAACATAATACACAGTTTTAGCACAGTCGGCTAAAGCACATTTTGTACTATTTAGCTACTACACCACAAATTCTTCATATGTTTCGTTATAAGGGCCGGGACTAAAACTACATTGAATTTTGCAATCGTTTTTAAAGTATCGTATGTGCAAATTTCAACACGATAAATGTTGATAACAAAAAAGGATATATTGGTTATTATTTAATAGGAATTCCGCAAAAATAGTGATCGTGCAAACATTCGTGCAAACGGGACCTCGGTGACGACACAGCATACGTCGCGTTTGCGTCATCATATCGTGAACAGCGCTCAAACGGGGAGGACGTGGGATGATTGAGTGTGGAGAGCATCATTAGAAACATTTTTTTTATTTTTTTTCAAATGTTTCTAATATCGGAATTATAAAGTACAAAGTTTAGGATAGGTAAATATGTGTTTGTGAATTTTATATGCATTGATAAGTGAAATTTTCATGATTGTCTTTACTAATGTGCTTTTGTCTTCCTCAGGTTCCACTCGGAATCGCCGCCATCATGGCGTCGGACGAACAATTTTCACTATGCTGGAACAATTTCCACGCAAACATGTCAGCAGGCTTTCACGGCCTGCTGTCGCGTGGAGATCTCGTAGATGTTACATTGGCTGCCGAAGGCAGGTTACTGCAGGCACACAAATTAGTTTTATCAGTATGTTCTCCTTATTTCCAAGAGATGTTCAAAATGAACCCAACTCAACATCCCATAGGTAAGGATTTTTCTATCTGTTCGATTGACATTCTGTTTCAATGTATGGAGTTGTGTATTAATTATTTTCTTTTGTTTCAGTATTTTTAAAAGATGTTAGTCATTCAGCGTTAAGAGACTTATTACAGTTTATGTACCAAGGTGAAGTTAATGTTAAGCAAGAAGAATTAGCCTCTTTTATTAGTACCGCGGAACAGCTTCAGGTTAAAGGTCTGACCGGAAATCAGAATGAAGAAAGTTCCACGCCATCCAAACCAAAGCCGACCTCTAGGCCAGGCCCGAGGTCGTCACAACAAAGGCAATCTGTTATGACTAAGTTAGAGACTGATTTAGATTCTAAGCCCTCCACCACTCCAGTAGCGGTTAAGCGACCAAATAGGCCATCAATAGCATCAAATAATTCGTCATCTTCACAAAGTGGACCTGCGAAACGAAAATGCGTGGACCCATTAGAAGCCGGACCATCAGGATCTGCAAAGGAAGAATTTGTAACGATACCAGATGAAGATGAAAACAACGCTGTGGCACCGAAAATGGAACCTGAATTTGTTAACGAAAGCATGTGGGACGATGATGACGATGGCGCGAATAACGAAGAAACAAATTTCGGCGAAGATGACTCTAACATGGAAATGACTGGTAAATATCATTTTTAATCTTCCCAAAACTAAAAAACCTTTGTCATTGTACCTACTTAATAAATCTTTTTCTTGCAGCTTTTGATGGCTCAACGACAGGCGACGGCAATATTACTGGAGGTGGTGAAGGTGGAGCTGTAGGCGATGCACAAGGTAGGTTTGCTACTTCCTTCAATAAAGGCAGTTAGTTCAACGTGGTTTTGAACCAGCTGTCTTCAATCAGACTTATGTGATTAATAATTTATTACAGTTCAACTAAATGTATTTATTAATCAGCGGTCACATAAGTCTCTAGTCGTAGGAATGAAATTTGTAAGTTTAGCTTAAGTAGTTTAGAGTTAGAATTCATATAGTTACTTGAGATGTTGCAGGTAAAGTTCAAGGTATTGTAGAGCTTCATGTTTAGAAGCTCGAGGTACAAAGGTGGTAAGGTAAAGGTAACCATTGGTAATGTTTTCTGGAAAGGTAATTAGGTTATGGGTAAACGTAAAAGGTAACTGGTTTATGTAATGTATGGTGATCCATTTTGATCAATAGGTAAGGTATGGTTGCCACAGGTATCGATTATTGAAGAAAGGTCGAAAGGTAACGAAAGTAAATGGAAACGGGACCAAGAGGGGGTATGGTAATCTATGGTTGTGGTACGGTAATTTACAGTAGGAAGGTACGGTAATTAATGGCTGCAGGTAAGTACGGATTAACTACAATAGGGTGAATAGGTGTGAGAAATACGGAAATTCTTCATAGTGTCGGTTCACCCCTCTTCTGTCCCTATTCACAACTCTATGCCTATTAACCCCATTTTACCGTTGGTAATTTACGGTAAAATGCGGTGAATAGATTGAAAGGAATCTGAATAGAAGTGACTCAAACGGGGTGAAAATCTTGGGTTAACGTTACTCAGAAATTCACATCTATCCTTTTTCACACTATTTTACGGTTTTGTAAAATAGGTAAATAGGGTTTGAGCGGCGAAAAGGAACAATTAAATCTATACTATGAAGAATTCCCTTATATCTATTCACCCTTCTTGTCTGTAGGTAGGTACTAAAGCAGGGTGAATAGGTTGTAATGGTTGACCATGTTTTCCTTTTTAAATTGTGGTTTATGAAAAGGTAGGTACCTACGTACGTTATGGTGGCTTATGGGTAAGGTATGGTAAACCCCATGTAACGGCTAGGTTAGGGAGTCTGTGCTTATGGTATGCTATGCACAGGTATCGCTGCGCTATAGTATGCGGCGCAGTGATTACTGGTTAAGTATACACCTATATCCAGGTACGATTACCGTGTGCGTTACCCCAACAAGAAAGTATCTCCTAGAGATATATGAGTAGAACGTAAAGTTGGTGCCTTATCTGCTATAAATGTGCCCCCACTCGTTTTGAAAAAAAAACGGAAAAACGATTCTTGCTGGGGTAACGTTTTTCTAGCAGGAAAATTCTAAACGAGTGATCGGAGAGAAAAAAAATGTGCATGGCCAGAGAGCTTATATGTGTGCCACTATGTGCCCCCAAAAATAAAATCTGTGCCCCTTCAGATTTTCGGGATATTGCGTTTCCTGCTGGAGTAACGTTTTGATGAATCGTATATCTCTAAAACCATTGCATGTGCCCCTGTAGAATAAACATTCACGAGTAGCTCTTAATGTGTGCCTCTGTGTGCTCCAATTAGATTTAAGGAAATATTTATAGTTTTCAAGTTATCGCGGTTTTATGAAAATCCGAAAAAACATCGCAGCGCCTAAATGAGACAAGGTATAAGTTCGCTGAAAACTGTATTCGGTCCTTCTTGATGCTAATAATAACCATACAAAGTTTCAAAACGCTTCATGCATGCGTTTTTGAATAATCTTGCTACAAGTCAAGACGATGGTGTCATAACTTTGACGGCAAAATACAAGGAACTGGCTAAATCCCAGATGTGTAGGTGTAAACCAAAATCATGTGCCTTTAATCAAAAATATGTGGTGAAAATATTGAGCTTCGAATGTTTCGCATTAAGTAAATATGAACATAAAACCGAATTAAGTAAACAACGGCTGGTTATCCGACCAAATTTGAATGACTACTAAAAAGCGACGGATTCATACATATCGATGACCTTCTTTATTGGACGTATTATACCTAAGCTGTTGTCCGTGCAGTTGCGTTCAAAAGTTTTGGGGGCTAATTAAAAAATATATTAAATGCAGCTTGTGACTATATTAATGAAACAGCTTGTTGATGTGGAAATTATTATTTTTCTTCCCTTAATTTAAGAAAAAAAAACTTAACTTAAACTAAACTAAACTTCCAAAAGACATAAGAAAATTTGTATTTCGCGGGCTACTCTGGAGCATTCATTTTAACCCTGTACAATTTTGTCTATTCTACTGTGTAGACTATTACATGTGGCATAATATTATATTTCCCACTTCGTTGGATTTTACCATATAAGTCATCATAACATTCAAATAAATTACTATTTTTTCTGTAGCAGTGAGCCCTGTAATGTCCAACACTATTGGGTTTCGAAGCGGGTTCATATTCTATTGCAGACAGAATTGTGTACTCCTTATTATTTACTTCAATGTTACGAGGCAGATCATCCAACTTGACGCAAACGTCATGAAGTTATAAATGATAATATCTTTAACATTGTATCTGAAGGATATATTTCCGGCGCAACAAATATATGACATCTGGAGTAAATTCTGTTCTTAAACATGATTCGCAAGCTTCTTGTAGGTGGTTGATACCTTTAATATTTATTATATCTAAGTTTCAACGGCAAATACTTGCAATTGTACAATTTGTTTTCATCTGCATGACTTATGCACATACTATTAGAGCAAACTCTTTGTCTTATAGCAGAAACAAATAAGCTAACTATTTCATAAGGTACAAGTATTTGTAAATAAGTCAAAATAAAGATATTAAATACTTACCACCGCAGATAGTGCACTGAAATTCACCATAACAACCACATAATTATTATAAAATGATTAAATACGCCACTTTCAACCAACTTAAAAAAGTAAACAAACAGTATCAGTGCAACTGCGTGACTCAACATAACAGTGTCCTTGGCGTCATTACATAACTGCAACTGTTTACCAATAAAAAGAAATACTCTAAACGCACTTCCTAGTCAATAAACACTTTGTACCTATTATTCACTAGTAGAATATAATCCAATAACAACTTTATTTTATTATTTATTACTTTTCTATTTCAGTGTACTCAGTCACAACACGTGTGAACCGGTTAGTAAGTAAAATAAAGAAGGTCATCGATATGTATGAATCCGTCGCTTTTTAGTAGTCATTCAAATTTGGTCGGATAACCAGCCGTTGTTTACTTAATTCGGTTTTTTGTTCATATTTACTTAATGCGAAACATTCCAACTCACTCAATATTTTCACCACATATTTTGATTAAAGGCACATGATTTTGGTTTACACCTACACATCTGGGATTTAGCCAGTTCCTTGTATTTTGCCGTCAAAGTTATGACACCATCGTCTTGACTTGTAGCAAGATTATTCAAAAACGCATGCATGAAGCGTTTTGAAACTTTGTATGGTTATTATTAGCATCAAGAAGGACCGAATACAGTTTTCAGCGAACTTATACCTTGTCTCATTTAGGCGCTGCGATGTTTTTTCGGATTTTCATAAAACCGCGATAACTTGAAAACTATAAATATTTCCTTAAATCTAATTGGAGCTCACAGAGGCACACATTAAGAGCTACTCGTGAATGTTTATTCTACAGGGGCACATGCAATGGTTTTAGAGATATACGATTCATCAAAACGTTACTCCAGCAGGAAACGCAATATCCCGAAAATCTGAAGGGGCACAGATTTTATTTTTGGGGGCACATAGTGGCACACATATAAGCTCTCTGGCCATGCACATTTTTTTTCTCTCCGATCACTCGTTTAGAATTTTCCTGCTAGAAAAACGTTACCCCAGCAAGAATCGTTTTTCCGTTTTTTTTTCAAAACGAGTGGGGGCACATTTATAGCAGATAAGGCACCAACTTTACGTTCTACTCATATATCTCTAGGAGATACTTTCTTGTTGGGGTAACGCACGCACGATTACCTACGCCTGGGGCTCTCTTGAATCCAATTCACATTGATCTTAAACTGTCAAACACCAAGCGGTCACCGGTGACCGCAAGCTATTGTTCTTTGTGTCTATAAATACGGTACTCGACGAGTTAATTGGTATTGCGAAATTGGTTATCCTTGGGTTGCAACACTAGCGCGCATGTCCGTAAGGATTGGCTCCTCAATCCTTACGGACATGCGCCCGTTGCTTTCGTATTGCGTGGGTATTATTTTGAACTAAGTGGTATGTTTGGCTTTTTTATATTTCATTCCGGTATTAAAACTGCTACAATAGGGGTTGTATAATGTTGACATTGAAATGTCGTAGTTATGCAAAAAACGTTCCAACCCACAAGTCACAGTTAAGGTCCCTAACATAGGTTCTTACCTTTTATAACAGCTAATAGCAAAGTTTCAAAATCTAATATCTAATCTTGTATCTCATTTTTGCATAGCTTTTGCATAACTACTGCTCGGTTCTCCTCCTTCACTGATGTAATGCTTAGATCTGTAAAGGAGGCCATACACGCTAGGTTTTCCATGATGGCAGCATACATAACCGAAAGGCAAGCCCTAGCGTGTATGTGACTAAACTGTACAGTTATCGGTGCATGTACCTACATGTAAAACCTAACGTGTATGTGGGGTATGAAACTCCTTTAAGGAGACCATACACGCTGGGTTATGCATGATGGTTATAACTTTGCATGCAAAACCGACAAGCATAACCAAGCACCGATGCACCGATAACTGTACAGTTTAGTCACATACACGCTTTTTTTAAGGGGGAAAAATCGTCGAATGACTGCTCCCGCCTAGGTGAGGCGGGAGAGTGTCAGACTCTTAAGCCCCTTAGCCCCTTACGCACTAGCGGTTGGCCACCTAGGCGGTTCGTATCAACAGACGCGGTTGCCATAGCGGTTGCATATTAAATTGGAAAGGCGGTCAACCGCAGGGAGCGGCTAGCCGCGCGGTTGACCGCTAGTGCGTAAGGGGGCCTATCGCACTAAAAACCACCCCGTTCCTTCTGCATGTCCAGCCGGAGCCCCAGTA